AAAAAAAAAAAAATCACAAAATTAGCTGGATCACCTGAGCCCAGGAGGTCGAGGCCACACGAACTGTGATTGTTCCAATGCACTCCATCCTGGGCAACAGAGTGACACCCTGACATACATACATACATACATACATACATACATACATACATACATGCATAAACAAATAACTCTTCAAGCAAAATGCATGGCATACCTCTTTGTAGCCTATCTCTTCTTTTCTATCACTGTCCCAAGACCTTTTTTCAGTCCTTTGTCATAGTTGCTACTATCATTGCCTCTAATGCTGACAGTTCCTTCTATGAATTCAGCCTCTCAGCCAAAAACAATTTCCTTCCTCTTTCATCATTCACCTTAGCTAGCATCTCATTCCTGCCATCCTCTGCCATTCCTGCTTCTAAAGCTTGTGTCCATTAGATCTTGGGTAGAGTCAGAACCAGTGTTCACGGAGAAGACACGTTCCAGGTCCTCAGATCTAGGGAGCTGGCACGTTATCTCGTTAGACTGTTGATAGTTTGAGTCTAAGTTATTCTCTATAATTCTCCAAGTTATGAGTAGTTTTTTTCATCAAGATTGCATATTCACATGAATTTCTATTGAGTTTTTCACTTACTCTCATTTCCTTGGAATTGAGCTTCCTGAAGGAGCCAGAGTTCACCTCTAACCAAAGGACTTGATTATGGATTACGAATATATACATATTGCCATATTTTTCCCATCTTCAGGCTTTGAGTTGGTAAAATGTAAAGTTGCAAGTTTCAATACCAGTCCCTTGGCTGGGTGCAGTGGCTCATGCCTATAATACCAGCACTTTGGGAGGCTGAGGCAGGAGAATCCCTTGTGACCAGAAGTTTGAGATAGCCTGGGACACATAGCAAGACTCTAAATCTATTTAAAAAAAATTAAAATTTAGCCAGGTGTGGTGGCATATGCCTGTAGTCCCAGCTACTCAGGAAGCTGAATTTGGAAGATCACTTGAGGCCAGGAGTTTGGTGTTACAGTGAACTGTAATTGTGCCACCACACTCCAGCCTGGGTGACATAGCAAGACCCCAACTCTTAAAAAACAAACAAAAAAAACCCTCCTTCACCCTCAAAAAATATCTTGAGTGGTAGTTTTATCTTTTTTTTGAGTTGGAGTCTCACTCTGTCGCCCAGACTGGAGTGCAGGGGCTGCTCCCGGCAACTGCAGCCTCGACCTGCTGGGCTCTGGCGATCCTTCCGCCTCAGCCTTCCAAGTAGCCGGAATTACAGGCATGCACTACCACACCCGGCTGATTTTTTGATTTATTGTAGAGATGAGGTCTCACTGCCCAGGCGGATCTCGAACCCGCGGGCTCAGGCAATCCACTCACCTCAGCCTCCCAAAGGTACGGGATTATAGGCTGAGCCACTGAGCCTGGCTAGTTTTATCTTGTTATAAAGGATGATTGCATACTCACAGCATAGTATGTTAAGTTGGAGCTTTGTTCTTTAAAATGTTCTTCAAGTTTTAGATCACGGGTTTGATGAAGTGCATCTTATTTTAGAATCTAAGCTATTTCCATTGCTGCAGTAGTGGTGGCTTATTGAATTATCAGAAAATCCTTGTCACCTAAAACGGACAGACTCCGAGAAATGCAGAAGTACTATCCCCAGAACCTAAGCAAGGCCCTACCTTGCTAGTGAAATATGAACTTTCTATTTCCTCCAGGTGTCAAGTTATATAAGAGAGCAGACTCAAGACCAGTTTCAGATGATAATCATCTCCCTAAAAGAAGAGTTCTATTCCAGAGCTGATGCACTAATAGGCATCTATCCTGAGGTAAAGATAAATCAGAGGGGAGAGGAGTGCCCACTGTAAACTTCCCTTAGTAACCTGACAGCTACAGCGCTTTCTTTTATAACTAAAATTTTCAGGTGGAGTCTGAGGGTTAAATGGCTTTTTCACCAAAGAAAATGTAAAAGTAACTTCTCAGATATCTTCCTGCCAACGGTACATAGAGAGTTAAGGAACAGTTTCAGTGAAAAGAGCAAATTGAAAATTGCAGAACAGTTAGTAGGATAGTTTTGTAAAATAGTTAACATTAATTTACACAAACTTTAATATTTATTTATATTTATGTAATGTTTCAATGTTTTAGGCAAAAATAAATGCACTGTGGTAGAACAAGGAGTCATTTATCTTCCAAAAGTATCAGAAGAAAAAGAAATTCACTAGACGTTCCAAGTTGTATAGTAGCTTTTAGAAATTGAACACACCTTTCTTAAGCCATTCAAAATACTTAACTGAGCTAATGGAGTACAGCAACTAATTCAAGTCATTTGGACAATTAGGTTTTACTTCCTTAGTTTTCCTTTAAGTGAAGATAAAAATTAATTTACCTTCCTGTGCCTACAGAATGTTAGGGGACCACCTGGAAATATGCTGCATGAAAAATGGAAATTCTCATAGCAGATGATACAAAAAAAACAACAACCTGATGATATGTAGATAATTGATATCTTTTTCGGCATAAGAAAGCTCCTTTTTAATGCAAATCCAGACTCATTTAATGGCTCTTTAATAATACTTTCCATAATTAGAGGAACTGACTTTTAATTGTCTTCTTTCCATTTTAGCATGATGACTGCATGTTCAGCCGAGTTTTAACCCTAGATCTTTCTCAGTATCCAGACACTGAAGGCCGAGAAAGCCGCAAGAGACATCGGGAGTCCCATTAGGAACTAGCACGCCCTTGAGTAACCACCAGCTATAAGAGCAAATAGGACAAGTGCTACAGCACTCAGGTTGATCATTATTCAGTTGCCATTCTAATATTCAAACAGCTCCTGAGTAGCAAACTTCTGGAGTAAGCAAGTCCAACCTGGTGTGCCATTTAAGAAAATTCTTAGTTTGTTCTAGCCAAAGAGGCCATAATTCACTTCCATTAAGGAGTGTTGAGGACCCATTCCAGTAGGGAATGTGTTCCTTGAGAGTTGGTATTAAATGTTTGGCTTTGTTTTTTTTTTTAAGTACAATTTTGAACCATAATCTTAACTTCTATTTTGAAACAAGTTTTACTGGTCAGAAAAAATTTGAATTCTGCATGATCATCACTCTGGTTTTGCCTGGTACTTTTAAGTAAACTTTAATGTAAACTCTTAGCTTTTAAATACACTAATTATAGGGTAGTTAATAAGTTGCTGAAGCGAATTTTAGGGAAATTGTTTCAGAGGAATTGTATATCAGTATTGAAAATATCAATAAAATTATTCTAATTTCAAATATCCCAAGTGTACAGTTTTAAAAGCCAAAATTTCAGTGGTGAAACCAAATTACATCTGCTTCAATGAAGTCTAAATTTTTCTGAATAGAATTTCTGTTATGCAAATATTGAATATAGGCTTTCTCAAAAAACAACCGACTTTTCCACTTATAAATACATTACTATGTGTAGGAAAGAAATTGCACACTTTTCAATAGTACTTCATTTCTGTTTCAAATGAAAGAAAAAATTCTGAGATGGTCTTCTACTTAAGACTGCTTTGGGTCAACCCAAGTGCTAAACAAGGAGTAGCCAGCCTCCTGAAGTAATGGAATCAATTTTGAACTTATTGTTTCATGTAACAACAGAATGCACTCTATGCCTAAAAAACTAAGTCTTAAAAAGACTTGGTTCCTACCCTGAGGGAGCCTCCAGGACAGTGAAAGTGCTGATCTCTATGAACTATAGACAGCAGAAGTCACTCTATTTGTCCCTCTCTGTTCTTTAGTACTGGTACTACCATCTACGTCAACTGCTTCTTCCTGTGCCTTGAAAGACACCATCTTTAACATTGAAATGTTCCTTTAAATGCTACATGAACTCAGTGTAGCCCCTTATCTCTAGCCTGGGTAGTTCTCACTTTTTCATAACTTTTGACTCATAGATTGTCAGTGATCCTATCAAGTGCAATCACTTCTGTTATATTGCAACATACCTGCATTCCTGAAAACCACCAGGCTATGCAAAAGCAGAAAATCATAAAAGTGATAAAAATCACAGGGCTATGGAAATACATGGTTGGGGTACTGCATATAAAAACAAACTCTCTATATATATAGTAGCCAGTTGTATATACATTAAATGGCTAAAATACTAAAAATACTACAATTAAAATGTGGCACCTTATCTTGAAAAAGCCCCTAACTCCACTTGTGGAAGTGGTTATCAGAAAGAATGGAAAGAGGGTTGTCTGAAACTCATACCCACCATGGAAAGGTGACGCTCCTACTGCCCCCAGTGAGCCCAGGGAGCTGATAGACATCTGAGGGCCGGGCATGCTTGAGTTCAGTGTATTCTTACGCAGTTCCATGGAGCTGGGCGCGGTTTACCACACAGAGCAGGGATCAGCAAACTTCTTTAAAGGGCACAGTAAATATTTCAGGTTTTGGTGAGGCAGTAAAAAGGCTGTTAAGTAGATATTTATATAACTATTTAAAATATGTAACCCTTAACAAATACAGCAACTATTCTGGTTTGAGGCAGTAAACAAACGGCCAACCTTGTTTCCCCCTGAACTGTTTCTCACTGATGAAATTATACATGAGCAAGTTTATGCTCAAGGTGCTTCTAATGTATCAATCATGTTGGTATAAATTTACATTTTAAAACAAGCATACAACAGAACTGACTATAGATATATCCATGCGGTACAGCAAGATAACCTCAAATCCTTCTGCATGGCACTCAAAGCTTTTCTTAAAATGGGCTCAAATTACTTTTCCAGTGTTATATCCTAGGCCACAGGCTCCTCAATGCTTGTAATTTTGTTGTGTCCTGTGTTTGGCCAACTTTCAGATTCAGATATCCATCCCTGATCGCACATTGTAAATGTGTCTTTAAAAAAATTTTTTTATAATGTTTGCTTTTAAAAGCATTTAATTGCATTAATCATTTATTTGATTTCACAATTAGGCAGCAACACAAGCTAAAAATTCTCATTAAATACATTATAGCAAGCCTTTGGTCATAACTAAAGAAGGGTGAACACACAAGGTTAAAGTTAAAATTTTATTTATGACCCGACTGACATAAAAGATTTTTCATGCTTCAAAAAGAAACCAAAAAGGTCTTCAGCAGGTCTCTGGCTTCTCTCTCACTCCCTATACATCCCAACCTTATGTTCCTTGCTTAGCTTTGTCTACCTATGGGAGCCATCAATGGAGAGTGTCACAGAGCTTGGCAAGAAATATCACATCGAAGATGAGCAGCCTCAAACTGAAACCAAGCGGGGCTTGTTTCCAAAGAGAATCCTTCGTTTTAAGATGTCTCACTGTACCACCATGTAAGCTTTTGCCCTGGTCACAGTCAGAAAAGCCCCCTGGGCACAGCAGCACACCCAGCACAGCTGTTTCACATGGATAAACCCCGAAAACCTTTAAAGTGTTGCAGGCCCTTTATAAGTTTTGCCTACCCCATTCTGTGCAAACCTCCTTAATATGGGCAGTAGGAAGAGAATTTTAAGAGGTAAGAATCAAAAGGTTGGACCTTACCCCACAGAAAAAAGACTTGGAAAGCTGAGAATTTATAATCTAACTAAAGTTCAAAACTGTGTCTTTTGCCTCGCTTACACTTTCTCGGTTGTGGTCACACAATGGCCCTGCACAACGCTAAACTGGCTTTCTGGCTCTTCAGACTTTACAATTAGCAACATCAGACCTGCCATTTCTTTGGAAAAGAAGTTACTAAAATGATATAATTCCAAAGAAGCCCTTTTGATCTACTGGTTGCTTTTAAAAACATATAATCTTCACTGCAGATTCATTCTTTACTATTAAACAATAAAACAAACATACCTTTAAAATATTTTCTACAGTAACAGATGTTTCCACATAAAAATTAACAAGTTTAAGTATCTAGTTCTTATTTTCTCTTTGGCAACTACTGTTGCTTGGACAGTCTTTACTTTCCCCTTCCTTTTAGGAAAAATACCACCTTGACACAAGAGAATTTGTCAAAATGGGAATCGGGAGTACCGGGTCCATCCCTTCCACTGATTTTGGTCCCTGAGGTAGCTGCCCATCAGTCCTTTCAAAGTGCACCTGAAGTATGTATGTGTCACTTCCCATGTTGTTCAACACATACAGGAAAGCTTTCACCCAGCCTTGAGGGCCACATACCCAGGTGGCTCTCTTGGGGTTATGTGACAGTTTAGAATTGGGAGATCCATTTGGAGTTCTCCATACATTCCTCATCATTTGGGCATGGCACTGTGGTTACAGAAGGCTGGTTTTCAAGTTGCAGGTTTTATTGGTTTTAAAGATTTCAAGATCCTGCAGCATCATCTGTTTAAATAAAAGAAAAAAATACCAGCATGTCAAAATTAAGTTTTAAAAAGTTATTTGCAATAGATTTCTATTTCAGAAACTGCTTTACAATTTTTCTTATGTGCTGAGGATGTTGAAAACCTCTCTATAACAGAAACAGTGGCTATTGTCTGAAAATGGCCTTGTGGAGTTATAAATTCCATCAGGACCAAGAAAAGTATGGCATTATGTTTGCAAAGATCTGTAGAAATCTCAGCCCATGAACATAGATGCTGTTTTCTTTCTTAGTAGACTGAGTACAGTGCCTGCTGGAAGTGTGCAGGATGCAGTCTGTCCATTTCTCTTAGCCTCTCACCCACATGCAGAACAAGTCAAGTCTTTCTGTACAAGAGACCAGGGGCTTTTCCCTGAGGAGACATGACTTCCTGTGGAGAGGCAGGACTGCTGGTGCAGGTGACAGCACCCAGGAACAAAGCTTTCATGGACATTGAAGAGAATCCCCGCCTAAGGCTCTATGGCAGAGTCTACCAGGCAATAGGCCCTGCCACCTGATACACACAACACCATTCAGAGGCAGGCTGAGGATAAAACATGTACACACAGCAGCAGCAGTGGGAGAAGAAAGCCAATCTACGGAGAATCATCACCTAGGCCTTTGGTAGGCCACTGAGGAGCCCAGACAAGAGGAGGACAAGGAACAAGAAATAAACAAGTAGAAAAGAACCATGTGCCCTGGAGGAAACAATTCAGAGAACACCAGTTTTGTTTTTTGTTTTTATTTAGTTATGTATGTCTACTAGTTGAATGCACATTCCAAGTATTTGCAAAGAACTTCACAGATTTGCATCTAAAACACTATCAAAGGTGAATTCTCCTAAAATTTGTGCGCTCCTCAAGTGCACTGAAGTTGTATAAAACTAAATGAGAGGAAGCAGAAACTGTTCTCCCACAAGAACCACCAACTCATCTCACCTTCACCTCCACTTGGCAGCAGGACACCACAGACCCCAACTCTTCTTGCCACTGATCCTAACTTGGTAGTTATTTTTAAATTGCCTTATTTTATTTGACTAAGTATTACTTGCATTCATTATGGTTTCTGTATCTACAACAGATACTTCAACAGTAAATGTTCTGTGTGGTGAAGGGACAGGTAGAATCACAGTACTGTTCACACATACCCATTGAGGAATTAATTTACATGTTAAATGAGTAGGTAGTTGATGTTAAGTGCTTCAAAGCTCTCACAAATTTGGGGAGCATTTTTCCCCCCACATGAAGTCTCCATTTATTCTGGGACAGGTTAGGGTGAGCACCTGAGCCTCCAGTAAGGCTTGCTGTGCTGACTGCCTGCAAAGAGCACATCCTGTATAGGGCTCATGCCTAGAGACTGAATATTGAGGCCAACACCCCTGCCTTGGAGGGCCAGGTCAGGGGACCAGGGACATACAGTGAGTCCTTTGGGACAGGAGTGGCCCTGGCGACTGCAGAAGAGCCAGTGGTCAGAGGGGGAGCAGTGACTCCGGAGACAGAGGGTAATTAGGCAGCTGGGTAGTAACCCTCAGGTCAGACTGGATCCCAGCTCAGAATGACAATCAGGGTCCCAGTGGCTATGCTAAATCCAGGGCAATGGACTCTAAGCATATGCCATTCTCACAGCCTGGGTGGACTGTTAAGTAGGTATTTAAGTGTTTTATTGAGGTCTTCTTATATAAAATAATAAAATATAAACTGTTATCTGAAAATCCTCTGTTCCCAATGTTTTTAAGAATGGAGTAGGATCAGATGTCCAGGGAGGCCTCTGGTATCACCAGGGATCTCATAGTCATAAACAACAGATGCCCCTATCAAACTACCAATGTCATTTTTCACAGAATTAGAAAAAACAATCCTAAAATTCATATGGACCCAAAAAAGGACCAGAACAGCCAAAGCAATCCTAAGCAAAAAGAACAAAGCTGGAGGCTTCACATTACCTGACTTCAAATTATACTACAAGTCTGTATTAACCAAAACAGCATGGCATTGGTATAAGAGCAGGACACACGAAGTAATAGAACAGAAACAGATAACCCAGAAATAAACCCAAATACCTAAAACCAACTGATCTTTAACAAATAAGACAAAAACATACACTGGGGAAAGAACACCAGTGGTGCTGAGAAAATTGGATAGCTACATGCAGAAAAATGAAACTTGATCCCTATCTGTCCTCATATACAAAAATTAACTCGAGACAGATTAAAAACTTAAATATCAGACCTGAAACCATAAAAATCTAGGAAGAAAATCTAGAAAAGCGTATGGACATCAGCCTAGGCAAAGAATTTATGGCTAAACCCCCAAAAGCAGATGCAACAAAAATAAATACGTGGGACTTAATTAAACTAAAAATCTTCTGCACAGCAAAAGAAATAATCAACAGAGCAAATAGGCAGCCTACAGAGTTGGAGAAGATATTCACAAATACAATAGATGCTGGCATGGATACAGAGAAAAGGAAACACTTATACATTGTTGGTGGAAGTGTAAATTAGTACAACCTCTACGGAAAATGGTATGGACATTACTCAAAGAACTAAAAATAGATCTATCATTTGATCCAGCAATCCCACTACTAGGTATCTACCCCAAGGAATAGAGGTAGTTATATAACAAAGACACCCGCACCCACATGTTCACTGCACCACAATTCACAATTGCAAAGATGTGGAATCAACCTAAATGCCCATAAACCGATCAGTGGATAATGACAAGGTGGTACATATACACCACAGAATACTACACAGTCATAAAAAAGAATGAAATAATGTCTTCTGAAGCAACATGAATGCAGCTGGACATCATCATTCTAAGTAAACGGACTCAGGAACAGAAAAGTAAGTGCCACATGTTCTCACTCATATGTGGGAGCTAAATGGTATCAAAGATGGAAATAATAGACGCTGGGGACACCGACGGGGGGCCAGGTTCAGAAACTACCTATGGGGTACAATGTAGACTATCGGGAATGGGCCACCCACCTGAGACCTAAGTCCCATTACTACACAATATGTCCCTGTAGCAAATACACATGTGTACCCCCAAATCTAAAATAAAAGAGCAAAAAATAAATAAATAAAACAGCAGCTGTTATGAGAAAATAAATAAGAAAACCAGAGCTCTCAGAAACTTCAGATCATATTGTCAAAATAAAAATTTAACCCAAGACCTAGAACATAATTTTGAGAATCTCCAAGAAAGTTTTTGAAAAAAATGAAGACAGAAGATGAAAATTAAGAAAGTCAATAAACAGAAAAGGAAAATTAAGAAAAAAAAAAAACCCAGTAGAAATCAGTCCAGGAGATCCCAACTAGTTTGAATTCCAGGAAAAGAGAACAGAGAAGATGAAAAAAAGAAATAATCAAGGAAATCACAGATTATTCCAGAACTGGAAAAATGGGAGGAGAGCGGAATGAGCAAGGAAAATTAAAAAGAGTCCCATACCTAAACACATGCTTGTGAAATTTAAACATCAAGGAGAAAGATCCTAAAAGCTTTCAGAAAGGAAAGCAACAGGTCACCCACAAATCACTAGGAACGAGGTTCACATCACACCCTCCTCATAGGAAAGCTGGTGATTAAAACAGCAGCGTTCCAGGGGGACATTACTAACCAAGAACCCTCATCCAAACTGTCCATGGAGCAAGAGGACCATGTAAAGACACAGCCCTAGAAGAGGTGACTCTCCACACCTGGGGACTGTGAGAGCTACCTGAAGAGATACAAGAACAAAGAAGAACCTGGACACTGATCTAAGGGAGGAGGAAGGTCAATGCGAGGGAGGCAAACATGCAGTAGTTCAGAACGGAGCTAAGGATTAGGAGGTACTGGTACCATGCAGAATGAGGGGGGTATGATTAAGAGAATGCATAAATTTACAAATACTGTGAAACATGTTGTTATTTTTCTGAAAAAGGGAAAAAACGGAATCTAAAAACACCTCAAAAAACAGGCAGTACAAATGTCTTAAGGTCCCGATACGAAACAATACAAAATGGGAGAATGGAATGTAACGAACCACATTTGTCCTTGACATTGAGGACATGTCTTGCAACTGGCATCATGGCAATGGTCCCATTAACATAACACACAAGTTGGCTAACCAGGAAAGAATACTGACACTGCTTTAATAAAGTAAACACTTCTGTTTTCCAATCTACAGATAATCTAGGGCATCTTCCTTTCTGTCCTGTGACCATGGTGACACTGACAATGGGAAAGCTGACAGACGGAGGGAGTGAGATGAGGAAAGGGCGCCCACTGCAGCCCAGTCTTCATATTGGGAGGTCAGGTCTAAACATAGTGTCTGTTTATTTTCAGTTGAGTCTCACTCTGTCGCCCAGACTGGAGTGCAGTGGCCGCTCCCGGGCACCACAGCCTCGACCTGCTGGGCTCTGGCAATCCTTCCGCCTCAGCCTTCTGAGTAGCTGGAACTACAGGCGTGCACTACCAGGCCTGGCTAATTTTTGATTTATTGTAGAGATGAGGTCTCGCCAAGTTGCCCAGGCGGGTCTCGAACCCGCGGGCTCAGGCAATCCACTCACCTCAGCCTCCCAAGGCACAGGATTACAGGCTGAGCCACCGAGCCTGGCTTAAATATAGAATTTAAAGTAAAGAATGAGAAACAATACAGTCCTATCCAGGCCTGGATGGAGGAGGAGAGAGCACGGCGAGAGAGGGCAGCAGAGCGAGCTAAGTCACCTTTACCGGCATCAACAGGAACAGCCTGTTAGACCCTATTGTAAAAAATAGTTTAAAGAACTCTTAGTGACAGAGGTAACAAAAACCAAATGATTTAAAGTGGTTCTCTAGAGACTAAGGTGACATAAGTCTGGCTAGTGGCTAGTGACCACCTTTGGGTGGTTGGGAGAGTGACTAGAAAGTGGCAAGGCAGGACTCCCAACAATGTTCTGTTTCCTGAACTGGGTGGGATTAGAGGGATATATTCACTCTGAAAATTCATAGAGCTGACCTTACAATTTGAGCACTTTTTTGGCGGATGTTTTCTACAGTAACATGCTTGCTTAAATCAACAGAATTTTTTTTTTTTTTTTTTTTGAGTTAGAGTCTCACTCTGTCGCCCAGACGGGAGTGCAGTGGCGGCTCCCAGCCACCGCAGCCTCGACCTGCTGGGCTCTGGCGATCCTTCCACCTAGAAATTTTTTTTAAAGGGCACCTCTGGGCAGTTGGAATAGGGTAGGGCAAAAGATCAGATTCCATCCTAAACCTCGGTGCTCTCTGACCCTGACACAATGTACGCATCATTCCTCTCACCAAGGGGCAAGGGGCAATAAAGCAAAGCACTGTCACTGAAAACACCTACCAGCAAGACAGATCTGAGATAGTTCCCCACAGAAAGAATGGATACAATACCGGTATCTGATTGTCTGAGTTTTTTGGATACTTCAATTCCATTCTCTTCCAACTTCCTCTTTGCACAGTCCTGGCATGCATTACCTGAAAGATGAACACTTATTAAAAAGTTTATTTATTCTAGACTCCATGTTTTGTTTTGTTTTTTTGAGTTGGAGTCTCACTCCATCGCCCAGGCTGGAGTGCATTGGCACGCTCATGGCCACTGCAGCCTCGACCTGCTGGGCTCAGGTGATTCTTCCACCTCAGCCTTCCAAGCAGCTGAACTACAGAAGCACACCATCGTGCTCACCTAATTTTTTCATTTATTGTGGAGACGAGGTCTCACCAAGTTGCCCAGACTGGCCTTGAACCCCTGAACTCAGGCAATCCTCTTGCCTTAGCCTCTCAAAGTGCTGGGATTACAGGCTTGAGCTACCACGCCCAGCCTTAGACTCCAGGTTCTAAGAACCAGATAATAAATCTGATTTTACTAAAATACAGGCCAAATAAACCCTGCCATACACTAGATTATATTGACCAAGTTAATGCTTCTTTCAAGAGAACTGTATGGTTCTGGGAATCACATTTAAGAAAGCAACGATTTCACATGGAAGTAGTGCGGAAATAGAAAACTGAATACAACAGTTTTATAATTCCTGCATCACTAATGTGGATGTGATGTCAGCAGTTCCCACATCAATATGCATTTTCTCAACTGTGAATACCCTGGGAAAACAGGGCTGCACACAAAGGCCTCCGCTCCACCGAACAGAGCCCCTTTTAACCCAACTAACTCAAAAAATGGAGACACCTGGTGCCCAATTCACCCACAGGAGGATGCTGGTAAGCTACTAAATCTTAATTCCTAAATAGGCAGAATTTGCCTCTGCAGGGAAAGCATTCACATCTCAAATAGAAAAAGTTTGCATGAAAGTTTAGATCCTTGTAATTAAAATTTCTGAAGGGATGGGTCATTCTACGCTACTATATCTTGCACCAAATGTTATTAACACAAATAGAATCTTGTTCCAATTCTCCCGTAACTCCTGGTTCTGTTAGGAATTTCTCAGGTGCCAGATGGCCCATGTGTGATTAAGCCATGCTTCCTTGTCAAAGGGATGGCTTTAGTCCCTTCTTTGTGGCAGGGACCATACTGAGACATGGCTATTTATCATCTTTGGTGCAGCTGTTGTGATACAAGCTAATTATGTAATGTGAAAAACATACTTTTATGATCTTACAATTAGTGGCAGGAAGATAATGGAATATGTAGGTGAAAAACAGGCTGGCAAGAATAAAGATTTGCTTTACCCAATAATGTGGTGCTGTCCACTCGATCAGCATCTGAAGGAGAAAGAACAAGTCAGCAGGGCCAGGGCTTCAGACACTCTCCCTCCTCAGGCCGCTCCAAGGCAGGGCAGCGGTGACTTCGGGCAGCTCTGGCCTACACTGGCTATAGGATCCTGAACTACTTGCTGCCCACTTCTTCACTCTCAGGGTTGAAATGAGGACTCGCTAATGCTACTATCATCCCCAGTGGACCTACTCTCCATCAGGAGGGGGACTCCGTGAATCTGAGTACAAATGTCTTTCATGACACAGCCACAGATTAAAAATCCAAACGACTACTGAGTCTTCTGGCAGTTTGTTGAATCCACTCGGAAAAGGGGCTTCAGTGGGGACAGAAAGCCACTCTGTCATACTACCCTGAAGCCCGAGTGACTCAGGGTTTATGTTGGGTCCTGCTCTTTCAGAGAGGTGTGGGTATGGAGGAAGGAGAGACAGTGGTGGGGGCAGAGAAGAGGAGAGCATGCACAGACCGGTATGAGGATGCACTAAATGGTGCATTTTGCTCTGCTCAGGCCAGGATCCCAATCCCAGCTTCAAAATGTCTGGGCACTAATTGGGCAAGTTTTTCGCCTCTTTGAGCTTATCTCTCATTTATAAAATCATCTGCTTAGTAGCAGTGTGTGACACCTAGTGGCTTGGCAAATATGAGCTCCCTTCTACCTTTGGTAAGAAACTATTACCCTAGTTACACTTTTATTCATGGAAATGCAACTTAACTTAAATTGCTATTAGCACTTCTGCAAAGAAAGTGCTGGCAGTTAAACACACACACACACACACACACACACACACACACACACACACACTCACACACACACAAACTTAGCTGTTGAATTATCTGTGCGTTATCTAGTCTTTGTGGCTAACCTAATTCCACAGTGTGGGTGAGTGTGCCTGGGTTTCCGAATACAATTAAATGAAAGTCAGTACAGTCTTTCCAACCCTGCTGTCATCAATGTTTTATAATGCCAAATACACAGACATTAACTCTCTTATGTCAAGATGACCATGCTTAAGAATTTCTCAATTACCTTGGTCATTCCTAACAGATGAATAATTTCCCAAAAGAAGGGCCAAGGAACATAAATTTTTTTTTTTTTTTTTGAGTTGGAGTCTCACTCTGTCGCCCAGACTGGAGTGCAGTGGCCGCTCCCGGCCACCCCAGCCTCGACCTGCTGGGCTCCGGCGATCCTTCCGCCTCAGCCTTCCAAGTAGCTGGAATTACAGGCATGCACTACCACAACCAGCAGATTTTTTTGATTTACTGTAGAGATGAGGTCTCGCTGTCCAGGCGGGTCTCGAACCTGCGGGCTCAAGCAATCCACTCACCTCAGCCTCCCAAAGGCGCGGGATCACAGGCTGAGCCACTGAGCCCGGCTGAGGAACATTAATTAAAAGGAGTGTGGCATTCAGTAGAGCAGGGAAAATGTGTTACTTGAAAAAGGAAATAAAAGTCTTTATAAAATCACTTTGTGCTTCTGAAGTTTTAATCTTTATTTATTCATTTTTGAGTTGGGGTTTCACTCTATCACCCAGGCTGGAGTGCAGTGGCATGATCATGGCCCATGCAACTTCAGCCTCCTGGGTTCAGGCAGACCTCCTGCCCCCATCTCCTGAGTAGGTGAGACTACAGGTGAGTGCCGCCACAGCCAGTCAAGGTTTTGTGGAGATGAGGTCTCACGACGTTGGCCAGACTGATCTCAAACTCCTGGGCTCAAGCAATCCTCCTGCCTCAGCCTCTCAAAGTGCTGGGATTACAGGCATGAGTCACCACATCCAGCTAAGTTTAAACTTTTAAACTGCAGTGACAAGAAAAAAGTATGTCTGTATCTTTTAAGTGTAAATGTCATAACTCATAGACCTGCTGTGGTCCAGGTAAACTGAAACATTGAATAAATGTGTGCAACTGCAAATGTGTGCACAGTCGTCAACTTCAAAGTTACTTTAAAGATCTATTTTATAGGCTGCACTATCACACCAATTATTCCATTATCCCAATCTTCTAATTTTGAATTGCAGATGCATTTTTTCAAAAATGAAACTGGAAGACTGGTGATTTTTATGGCATGTTAATCACATCTCAACAAAACACAAAACTGGAAGAACCCTATGAGATTTGTACCTGAAGGGTGAAGAAAGAACCCCATACCTGGACTCCGCTGTTTGCAGATCTGGGTGGCAAGGTCTTGCACATATCCCGGAAAATAGTCAAAACAGTCCCCATAGGACACTACTTTGATTCCATGCAAAAGCATGTCTGCTTGATGCTTAAAGAAATGGTCTTCATTCTCCTTGAGCACAACCATGTAGTGCTCTAAATCCACCTTATTCGGCACAGAGTAAAGAAAGAGAGCTTGGAATATCTGATCACGCAGGGTCTCTCCACAGCCCACAAACAGAAAAGACTTGGTTCGGTATAAGTTCTGCAGGACTTCCTGTGAAAAGCCAATGAAGAAATCAGGTGCTCGTTTAAAGAACGCAAGAGCTTATGACTAACCAAGTCACATACTTGTCCTTTTAAATCACTGTTTCCTAATAAGCCGTTCCAAGGGGCCATGAGGAACACGGTTAGAAGGGCAGGACACTCTCTCTTGACACGGCACTCAGGTCACCCCAGAGCTGCAATCTGTGGCAACAAAGGCCAAAGCTGGGCTAAGAGTACACCTCTCACCAAGGACAGGGAGTTTCTTCTTATCTGAGCCGGGGTAACTGGCCCGTGCCCAAAATCAGTGACCAGTGTGGAGGCACCTTACAGTAAGGACAGCCCGTTGCCCACCCTGCCCCCCATTCACCAGTGCAGTTCCCTGACTCAAATCTTCTAAGATTAGGTGCAATTTAGTGCGTGCCTGTAGTTCCAGCTACTTGGAAGGCCGAGGCAGAAGGATCGCTGGAGCCCCAGCAGGTCAAGGCTGCGGTGGCCAAGAATGGCCACTGCACTCCAGTCTGGGTGACAGAGTGAGACTCCAACTCAAAAAAAAAAAATTTTCAGTTTAGAAGCAGGTACATGTAAAACCCTGAAATTTATGTCTCAACAGATCATATAGGGGAACTTTTCCAGAGTGTATAGGGTTTTTGGGAATGAGAGCAGAACTAAGACAGGGATACTCAGGCAAGCAATAGAGAATCACCAATTCCGATATCCAAACATATCAGAGAGGTTCAATATCAGCACATACTAATTTTTTTTTTTTTTTTTTTTGGAGTTGGAGTCTCCGTTGCCCAGATTGGAGTACAAGTGGCATGCTCACGGCCACCTCAGCATTGACTTGCTGGGCTCAGGCAATCCTTTCGCCTGAGCCTTTCCAAGTAGCCGGAACTATAGGCACGTGCTACCAGGCCCGGCTAACTTTTTGATTTATTGTAGAGATGAGGTCTTGCCAAGTTGCCCAGGCTGTTCTCAAGCCCGTGGGCTCAGGCAATCCGCTCACTTCAGCTTCCCAAAGTGCTGGGATTATAGGCTTGAGCCATCACACGCAGCCCATATTGATTTCTTATAACTAACCAAAGCATTAATCATGCAACTGAAAGGCATCCATCCAATCACTCATCCTGCTGACACCCGTCCCAGTGTTATACAGGCCCAAGGATTAGCACTTAGAACAGAGTGCTGAACCCTGAGCCCACAAGTGAATCCACAAAGACAGAGTTTCTAAGTGCTTTAATAAAAGCACTTGAAAGTGCTAGGAAGCACAGCTTTTCCATACTTCATTCTGTCTAGGGCATCAAGAAAGCCTCACATCAAAAAAAGTTGAGTGCAGTTATGCACAAAGATAGTCCCAGTTACTCAGGAGGCTCAAGAAGGACAGCTTAAGGTCGTTGCACTCCAGCCTGGGCGATATAGCAAGACCCTGTCTCGAAAGCCTTCACAGAGAATTAAGTTTGTTTGTTTTCAATCAGCGTCTCACTCTATTACCCAGGCTGGAGTATAGTCACACAATCATGGCTCAACACAGCCTCAACCTCCTGGGCTTAAGCTATCCTTCTGCCTCAGTCTCCCAAGTAGCTAAGGGCACGTGCCACCATGCCCAGCTAATTTTTCAATTTTTTTGGTAAAGATGGTCTTGCTACATTGCCCAGGTTGGTCTCAAACTCCTGGGCTCTCTCAATCTTCCTGCCTCAGTCTCCTAAAATGCTGAGATTACAGGTGTGAGTCACTGTGCTTGGCCTTGAATTTTTAAAACCTAGAGGAAGGAGAGGAGAGCATTTTAGACTGGAAGATGCCTGGATGAACATGAATTGATGAGTAGGGAGGAGTGAATGGAACATTCCAGAATGTACTGGGCCCTATCCATCATACTGGGCAGAAGAGAACCACCGAGTGGCTGGTGCTGGCACAGAGAGGATAAGATCAGATCTCTGCTGTTTAAGGAATTATGAATTCCTTCCTTGAACAATATTTACTGAGCATCTATTCAACATACAGGCACAGTGCCTGGCCCTAGAGACAATGCTGAGAATACGAGAGACATGGCCCATCCACTACAGCTGTGTGGAGAGCCGATCTAAAGGACAGAAATGCCTTGAGCCTGGAAAACCACTCCAACTGCAGCCAAATGGCCAGTGGCCACTGCAAATTCCCCCAGAGGATGCAACCGGTGCTAATTAAGTCACACTATACCATTACTTCTGGGTCTTGAGTGACATCTTTATATCCTGATGGATCCAATACCATCCCACAGGGGTCTGTGTATAAGCCATGAATATGAAGAACTCCATATTTGATGTGTCCTCTTGCCCACTGAAGAACCTATCAAAAATCAAGCCAAAACAAAGAAAAACTTCATGTTATTTCAAACAGGTATAAGAAGAAAATATTCAAATTGTATTACTAGATCTTCAAAACTACCTAAGAAAGAATAAGATAGATGTTTTAATTTATAACAACATCTTTAAAACATAAAAGAAATTCAGCTGTTAGCCTAGTTATTCTTGTTATACTTTATCAAAAGAACTTATTTAGCCAGTCTTGGTGACGTGTGCCTGTAGTCCCAACTACTTGGGAGGATTATTTGAGCCTAGGAGTTTGAGACCACCTTGGGCATCAAAGTGAGATCCAGTCTCAAGAAAAAAAAAAAAAATTAAAAACAGTTACACAGAAATATCTTTAACATCTGAAATTACAGCAAGCTGTTAAGAGTGATTACTTTAGGGAGTTATGGGGCCTTTTGCTTCTAAGTTATATGATATGTTTTAAATACTGCTATTTATATATTACTTTTACACCCAGAAAGAATATATATATATGGAAAGAGGTATTTATCAAATGGCAAACTACATTATTTCCAGTTCAAAATGCAGAAGAACCTTACAAAGATGCCCATCAGGTCAACCAAACACTATCCTCATGCCAGAGCCTGCACATCAGTAGGCAGAGTAGATACAAGCACCAGCACCCTCGGGGCTATCACAGTGCAATGAGCCAGCAGGTGTTTCTGTTCATGCCACTGGCAGTTATCTCCAGAGACACCATCACTACAATAGAAGCCTCAGCAGGTGGAACCATGCTGCTCAGAGGAGGTGTCCATCGCGTGTCAATGCTGGCAGGAAAGGGCACCCAGGGCTGCCTACTCCCTCAGGTGGCCTTGCCTGTGCATACCACCCCCTGCAAAAGAGGAGTGTGCCCAGGTTCACGCCGACTCTGGCATCTTAGATGAGACAGAATCTCTAAAGGCTTCATTTTCCTTGTATGTAATAATATAAGCAAATAAGCAAAGAAACTATGTCTCAAAAGAAATACAAATGGTCAAGATGAAACTATGTTCAACTTCAGTAATAAAAAAAATACAAATTTAATTTTTTTAACCTATCAACTATTTTAGTTTTTCTGAAAAACACTACATGTTGGCAAGATATGGGAAATGGATGCGCCCATAACTCCCACACACAGCTGGTGGGAATATAACTGGTAACCTTTCTGGAAGACAGTCTGGTAACATATTATCGGGCTTCAAAATAGTCATGCCCTTTGATACTGATATTCTTCTAGGAATTGATCCTGAAAACAGAAGGACATAAAAGTATATGGGTTTTATAGCATACTTATAATTATAAAAATATGCTAACAATAATAGAGGAAGGGAAACAATTTTAATTTAGTATTATAGTCCTATTGCCATCAAGTTTAAAATGCTTTTAAAAACAGCACAACAGGAATGTAATATTAATATAATTATAATATAATCACAGTGTGTAATAGTAAGAAAAAAATTAGGATTAAAAAGTTTGCGTATGTTATGATCCCAATTTGTTAAAAATTCTCAGCAATAGGTCAGTGGGTGATTTTACTTCTCTTTATTTTCTTTACTATCCATATTTCCTACAATGACTATAATAAATAAATTTAAATGAGAAAGCCTTGCAGACCTACAGGACAGAACACATCAAGAAAATAGGAACAGGTCAGATGCGGTGACTCATGACTGTAATCCTAGCACTGGGGAGGCTGAGGTGGAAGGATCGCTTGAGGTCAGGAGTTTGAGACCAGCCTGGGCAACCTAGTGAGAACTTACCTCTAGAAAAAAAGAAAAAAGTTGTTTTAATTAGCCAAGTGTGGTTGTGTGTGCCTATAGTCCCAGTTACTGGAGAGGCTGAGGAGGGAGGATCACTTGAGCCCAGGAGGTCAAGGCTACAGTGAGCCATGATCATGCCCCTGCTCTCTAGCTTGGACCACAGAGCAAGACTCTGTTTCAAAAGAAAAAGAAAAAGAAAAGTTAATTCAAAAAAAAGAATAGAAAAAAAAAGCAAGCAAAAAAACTCCTAAGAAGCACAGGACATTACCCTGTCAGCTCCCAGCTTTGCCGAGAAAAAAAGGCTAGCACAACCTTTCAAGAATTAATGTTTTGTTTTCCTGTGAAGCATAGCATCCTTGAGGTTGCCAGTGTTCGATCTTCCACTATTATTATTTTTTTAAGATCAGGGGCTGGCTCTGTCACCCAGGCTGGAGTGCAGTGGCAGTGGTATGATCATAGCAATCATAGCTCACTGCAGCCTTGAACTCCTGGGCTCAAGTGATCCTCCCACCTCAGCTTCCTAAGTAGCTGGGACTACAGGCTCACACCACCACACCCGGCTCCATTACTAATTCTGTAGTAGTGACAATGCTGTAGAAGTGACAGTTGCTTCTAACCCAGGCAGGGCCAATACACGGAGCTTCTCCATACCCACCACCTGTCACCCATACCTTAGTCTTGTCCTTCAAGTCCAGAGACTCCATGGGCTTGTTCTGTTGCTGGCCAAAGATCTCCAGCAAGTTGTCATAGTTTGTGGTCAGGACCATGGTGCCCCTCTCCATCAGACTGAGGATGGACTGCAGCACCAGAGGGTTCTGGATGTGTTGCTCCAGGTTGTCAAAAACCTCCATCAGGCAGTCCTGGAAGAAGTTGGGCTTGGTGTCACCTGTACGCTGTGGAAGCGGGGAATAAGAGTTACAAAGACATCAGCCTTCAACTACTGAGCACCTAAGCAGGCGGCATTCTGGGTGAGACACAGGAGTTTAAAGAAGAGAGAACTTAGCTTCATGGAGTTTACGAAAACCCCAGAGGAGGGGAACAAGCAATGTACAAATATATCAGACATGGACAGTGAGAGATGCCATGGGAAAGTACAGCAGAGAAGGGGGGAAAGGCGCTGCAGGGAAACCAGGACAGGGCCAGGGCACCAGGCAGCCTCTCTGATAAGAAGACATGGGAGCAGAGGCCTGAGAAGTGAGGAATCCTGGAGAGTGTTCTTAGCTGAGGCAAGAGCACAGAGTCAGCAACGGGTCAGCATGGCAGGAGAAGAGTGACAAAAAGTGTCCTCAGGTGAGGTCACAGAGATGACCTGAAGCCAGATCATGAGGAGGCCTTGAAGATCATGGTAAAGACTCCGGCTTTCCCTCTGAGAGCTGCAAAAGTCCTGGTCTTCTCTTTCTTGATGGTATATGAAATAGTGTGTCTTTTTTTCTTTTGTAGAGATGGGGTCTCGCTATGTTGCCCAGGGGTCTTGAATTCCCGGCCTGAAGCAATCCTCCCACCTCGAGCCCCCAAAGTGCTTGGATTACAGGCGTGAGCCACTGCGCCGGACCTGAAAAGGCGTATCTTAATGGCACCTTAAGTTAGGTGAGAGACTCCATAAGATCAGGATGAGACCTGGCCTCGATGAAGCCCCAGTGGTCACCAGTGACCTTGACAGGAGCTTCTCAATGCAGTGGTGGGGCAAAAGCCTGATGGGGCGGGTTTGAGAAGAAAGGAACTGGCAACAGAAAATGCAACACCTCTGTGGAAGAGCTTTGCTGTGACCACCCAGAGAAAAGAGGGTGGGAGCTGGGAGGACACAGGTCAAGGGGTTTCATACACTCCCAGTGAGACTACCCACCCCTCGCTCAGCCCCTGGCCAGCACTTGACCTCACCATCACCCTCTGCCATCCATCAGAATCCATCCCCATGCCCTCTGTCCCTATCAGTCTGTCATCACAAGAGGCCCAAGACTCGCAGATCCCCACTCACCCCCATGGCTCTGGGCATACCCTCTTCTGACACCTCCCAACCACGCCAACCTTCCCACTGTTCCCAGCGGGTCTGCCATCTGCAAATTCCCCTATCTGCATCCTCTTCTGGGAATGCCCACCTTCTTCTTCAACTGAAACCTGGTTCTTGGCATCCCTGAAGCCCTCAAGTGGGGATGTTCCTCCATACTCCTTGGACTGGTGAGACGGACGGACCCTAGGCTCTCTGTCAAGTCTCTCCAGCAGTACTGCCATAATCTGTGGTGATTCTCACAGCCACTTGGGTGGCCCTTTCTGTATCATGACCTCTAAATCCCTCCCCATCACCCTCCTGAAATGATCCTGTCCCATCCCAACCAGTCACAATCTACAGTCACACCCCAGACCTCATCAGTACCAAGAGCTGAATCCTCTCCAGAACTGCTGGCCCAGCCTCCCCCTGTCCAACCACTCCCTCCCACCTGCCCACCTCTTCATACCTTGGCTCCCAGGGAAACTTTAACCCCATCAAGGCCCACGAGCCACTAACCAAGCCCATCACCACTGACCATCATCACTTGCTGTCCTAACATCCTGCCTTCTCCTCTTAAGCAGCTTAGAGTCCATAACTGATCACTGCAACTACTCCCCTGAATACACCTTCAACTCCCTCGGTCTTCTCTGGCTTTGGTGCAATTCTCTGAGAAAACCAACTCGGCTTCCTCCATACCTGTTTTCAAACTGTTCAACATAGCGAGGGAAAAAAAATCATGTCAGCTAGTCTCACTTTAACGCCTCCTCATGGAGGTTTTAAAAAACACACAAAAGTAAAGAGAAGAGCTGAATGATGCCCCAAATCCTCATCTTTTAGACAAACTATTCTCACTCTAGCCAGTCTCTCTTCAAATGCATGACAATGAGGGCCCTCAGTGCAGCCTGGGATCTGATCTGGTGATTGATCTTCAGGTGTTCTTTGCCAAGGTTGAGGACACATGGCGACAGGGGGGGCACAAATCAGTAGGAGTGAGTCCTGTGCTTTTTCCAAAAAGGTTTTGAGGATTTCAATATTTAAAGAGGAACGAATGGGCAACCCCCTTGGGTCCCCTCCCACTGTGGGAGTTTTTCTGTCCTCTCAATAAATCCTGCTTTTTAAAAAAAATAAAAATAAAGGAAAGAACAAGCAGGAGGAGGACGGGGAGAAAAAGGGGAGGGCAGGCAACGAGACAAGTGGTTTCATTCTGCTCAGGAAATCTGCATTTTACAAAGATAAAGTAAGCATGTGAGGTTACAGCCATCTGTTTATGAATAAAAGGAAGGTAGCTTTTGTTTGTGTTGGTTTTGTTTTGTTTTTTGCCTGACTCAGTTCCCAAGCTTAACATTTCCCTTTGGCAAAGTGAGTCTGGGGACCCAAGATTTCATTTTTCTTTCACAGGGTCATCAACTCCTCCCCTCTTCTGCCTCTGAAAGCTCTTTGCAAATTTTGTTTATGTAGACCCAGAGAATAAATATTTAGGCCTTGTGGGCCACATAGTTTCTGCTGTAGCTATTCAACTCTACCAGAAGCAGGAAAGCACCACAGACAATATGTAAATGATGGATGTGGCTGTGTCCTGAACTTCATTTACAGACACAGGACCGAGGCGGTAATCTGCCAACCCTTCCCCTGTGGTGGTAATTAGGACACCCATGCCTGGCATAGACACCTAACTAAAAGCATTTCCCAAACTCTGGCAAAGGTAGGTGCAGCCCTATGTAAGACTCTGGCCAATGAGATGTAAATGGTAGAGGGCTATATGATTTCCACGGCAGACTCCTGAAGGCCTGGGGCATAAGCTCCCTGCTCTCTCTCCTCCTCTCACTAACAGGAGTGTGCACATCATTTATGGCAGCCAACTTAGAGCATGAGATGAAAGCTGCCTGCTTAAGATGGCTCTTCCCCAGATACCTGCACAGATTTCTAGGTGAGAATTCGAAAGTGATTGTGTTGAAGCCATGTAGTTTTGGGTCTCTTTTTATAGCAACCTAAACTCTCCTACTCTCCCTGATGACCCGTTCACTTTTTTCCTGCTTTCTCCTCTATGTTCAAACCCCCAGCATCTCCCCATCCTGACTCTCAGTGATGACCATGCTTCTTTAATCAATACAGGAGTCACGAGAAGAACCCGCCCCAGCCTTCCCACAGTCTGGCGTCCCTGCATTTGTGCCCATATACCACGGCTGACCTGGGAGGAAAACGGCCTGGCCATGTCCCTCACCCCTGCACCTGATCCAGGCGATGCGAGAGCATCGTTCAGGAACTGTCTCCTGAATCACAATTTGCTTTTCCTCTCTCCTAGATCATCTCCACTTGCAGACAAAGAAGCTTCTCCCATTTAAGATGTTTTCTAGAAACCACTTGTCATCTGAAGAGATGTGGCCGACCTGCTTAAACCAACACACATCTAAAGGACAATCCTTCACTAAATGAATACAAAATCACCAAGCTCACACCCAGTGCAGCATGATAATACCCCTGAGGAAATCTCACATAGTCAGGCTCCAAGTAATAGGGGCTATTTTAGGAGCCCCGTACTGTACCTGACATCATCTCTGCTTAAAAAGATGATGTCCTGATGGACTAAGGGAGTTTTGGGTATCAGCCTGACTCTGCTGAGAAATGAACACAACATAGATGTTTAACAGGAGGTTCACAGGTCCATTCAAGCTGGTCTAGAATCAAATTGTCCCAGTGAAACTTGAAGCACTGTCTGACACTTACAGGTGACATCTTCCGGATCAGATCATGAGCAACAACCAGCAGGTCCCGGTCCTTTGTCACTTTCCTCCGGAACTCAGCGATGTCCCCAGGGTGAAGTACCTCTAGCTGCTCTGCGGCCTCGATGACCGCCTCAATGCAGCTTCTCCATGAGCAGAGGGCGGGGATTCCTGGGGCCACTGCTGCGCTGACCCCAGTCCCGATGACCAGGAGCAGTTCCTGGGGCTGTTTTCGGATGAGGCTTTTTAAAAACTTTCTGCTTAAAAACAAGGGAGGGAGCGAATGAAAGTCAACCCGGAGGTATTACCAACAGGAAATCTGGAAATCTCTGCCAAGTTCTGGCCTTGGGCCACACACACTCTCTCTGTCCCCGTTCACATGACTGGGAGACAGAGTCTGTGTATCATTCTTCTTGGCATATGCATTTTACATGTTCAACCCTCATTCCTTAAAGGATCTGGACAGCTCTGCCTCACTTACTGAGTTGTCCAGTGTTAAGCACATGGTTAAGTGATATATATTTATGAACAAAAAGCTCAGCAATCTGAATTCCTCTGAAGCTACAAATAACTTGTATATACAAACTATGATAACAAAATGATCCCTGCTTGCAGTGACAGATAAGGAGATTCCAGGCAAAATGCTAATATTCTGCCACCTACCAATCCCAGCCCACTTTATGGCAAGGACCTTGTTGCCATGCAACACTTTCCAACAAGCATAAGCTGCTGTTCCTGCAAAGCACTACACTGCTAGTCTCACACAGGACCCCTCTAATTACTTGTTGCTTGGTTTGGAGACAGGACTATGGTGACTTCCTTGGGCAGAAAACTGACTTCTGGAATGTTTCTAATATTGAAACAAAGGGTGGTTAATGGCCCTTGAGAGTCTCTTGTGACCCTTTCACCTTGTAGGTACTAAATAACATATGCTCATGATAGATGCCATATGAAGTCAATAAACCTGCCCAAAGGTATAGCTGACTTTATTTACCTTGATTTTTGCTCACTTCTGGTTGTTGTCTTTTCCACTGAATCCATCTGTGAATCCTAAAGAGAAAATAAGTCAGATGTGACTTCTACTTTCCAGAGAGAAGTTTTCATTTATACCCTGGAAGAGAGCTAAGGCTGGTATTAAAAATCAAAGATCCTGGGTCTTTACTTAAATTAGAACACCTAAAAAATGCCAGACAAATAACATACATCCAAAATGTCTCCTAAGCCACTGTGCCTGGTCTTGTGTGACTTAACAGGCTAGTCAGATTCTCGTTGCCCTACATGGGACAGAGCAGAAATGAAAATGAACACGCACGAGCAGATGGTGCAGCAGGCTCTGCAGCAGGCTTCCTGCTGGGGTTTTCATGCCGTATCTTACGACACCATTCTGGAAGAGCTTCCAGCCTACGTGGACACATACGACTTATCACAGAAGCAAGAAAGTGGCAAGCTACATAACAGAGTTCAGCGAGAATGCTGTTTTTCAGAGGGAGCACACATGCTCTGGGGTCCTGAGCATGGAGGGGCACCAGGCGTGGGTGGTGCACAACCCATCTCAGCACAGCACAGCTTCTCAGTTGCCAGGCCTCCTCTCGCCTGTGTTAGAATCCCATCTAAAGTAATCACCAAGGTAAAAAGTCAAGTCTTAGTTTCCACAAAAACAGGAGTCTCTAATCTGTCATGGGATTAGAGTTAATCTAGGTCTCTATCACCAAGCTATCTCCACAGTCTACAATTTTCCCAAAATTACATGTCCCCAATTCTATAACTAATATTTACTATAGACAATATTAGGGCTGTGGTTAGAGGTTGCTATATTGTATACAACACAATAAATCTTAGAAATAAAAAAATACCAAAAAGTTTTTTTTTAAGTTTGTAAAAATATGAAAAAAATAGCCTATAATCCTACTACCTAACAGCCAATAACGGTTAACATTTAGACATTTTCCCCTAGACTTTTCACTTTAAAATTTTTCCATAATTTAAGAACATGGTGCATACTCCACTTTTTTCATGCATCATAATAAAAATATTTCCCTAACGTTATTAACTACCCATAAATGGAAGTGTAATGTACATATATGGAATTCTACCTTACTGATACATCCCTAATGAAGGACATTGGTATAACAACATCCTAACAACCAACTTGGTGCTCAAAGCATGTCTATCATGAAATTACTTATTTAGGAGAGATTTCTAAGGAGAAAAGTTGCTGCGTTAGAGAATATGAGCACTCTAAAACACCTTAGCACATACTGCCAAACTGCTTTCCAAAGACAGCAAATGTTTTAAGTGCCTGTTTTGTCATATCCTAACCAGCACTGAATGAAAACTACTTTTCCACGTGTGTAATCTTTTTTTCCCCCCTAATTAGAATTAGGTCACCAAAAATAATTGTCCAAGGTAAGGAAACAAGGCTTAATCCATGTATAGGCATCATTAGATGGGAGAACTAGATAGAATTCAGGTTATCCCCTGAAAATATACACAATCGTGTAAATGCACACATACATTTTGCTCCCAGGAAAAGGGATTCAGAGCTTCCATCAGACTTTAAAGGTGTCTGTGACGTTACCTCAAATGCTAAACCACAGTCCGCAGGCAAAGAACATGAGGCCAACAGATCCCTGTAACCTGCCGAAGGGGAAAGGCTGGCAGAGTCAGGGCTAGTGCTCAGCTTCCCACGGTGGAGTAGCTATCAAAGGCATCAAAGGTCACATTGTTTTTGTGTTTTTAACCTGTTAGATATTTTCTAAGGAAAATAGCAAATATTGAGGTTCTCCACAAAATAATATCATGTAAAAATATAATATAAAAATATCTCATAATATAAAAATATAAATAATATAATCTCTCCACCATATGAGCAACCCTGGATCCCAAGTCCAGGTTTCAATGACTGGTTTATCTGATCACCAATCCTCAGTTTTATCAACTATAAAATGCAGATTCTTGCTCACTGGCCAAGTTTCAAAGGCTCAGGAATCTATTACATGAAAGTGCCCTGGAAGTTCAAACTGTTGAGTCAAATAGCTCAGGCTCTGACCTGTCCATAAGGCTGCCTCCCACGCTTTCCATCCTAACCCACTCCAGGGCAGAATTCGAGCCATTCCTGTTCAATCCTATTTGGAAGGCTAATACAAGATGCTCATCTACTGACTAATCCAAGAGCCCCTCCCAGCCTGCCCCCCAAATAATCTGCATGGTTTCAAAATACATACTCCTTCCCTACCTACGGGAAGGAGTCATTTATCTCAACCTACGCTACACAACATTTTAGAATATTTTTTAAAGTCACTGGCCAATCAGTGACCTTAAGAAACCACATTCCCCAAATTGCTACTATAGTAAAACTGAAAAATCTATCTCTAGTTCTTGCAATTATTGTTCAACTGCTTTTGATTCTCCATATATACGTGATTATAGTTACAAACTCAAAACCTAAACATTGAATTTCCGTATCTGTAATAACGTATGAACAAATTAAACTTTTGCAGTCTGTGCTTAACTCCAAAATAAAGTGATTTCAAGTTTCCCAAAAGAACAAGTTATCACTATTCACAAAACTTACATAACAGGTGAGAGCTTGTGCTCCTGGGTGGTTTGCGGCTGGCTTAAGTGCTCAAAACCTCTCTCAGCCTGAGCATGCAGGTCTGGAGCTGGCTTCTCAGACAGCACTTCAAACAGAATCATGCACACGCAGATGAGCCTCTAGACTTTAACACTGACATGTACCTTTAAGAGCCAACATGAGAAGTATCCAATTATATCAGAACTCAACCCAGTAACTCTGCACCGATGAGCTGCATAGTTGCCCATATTTAGACATTTACAGTTCACTGTCACACAACAATGTTTAAAGACATTACCTCATTTCCTGTTTTGGCAGCATAAACATCAGAGCCAAATCTCACAATAACCTAAAAATTACCCCCAATCTTCCCATTGTTTTTAAACCAGGGTTCAAGTAGAAGACTTCCAAAGCACTCAATACCTGATGCTGGAAGTTTCAGCAGAACAGTAAGCCTCTGGCATTCTGCTCCCATCCCAAACACCATTCTTCTGAGCCAATCAGATTCTAGACAACACTAACAAAACCCTTCAGAGGCCTTTTAGTTGCTGCATCCTTTGGTTTCCTTGGTGATGATGTCGTCACCACGGTTTGCAGGCCCAAAGCCAGGCTATCATAGCAACTCATTTTTTTCAAGAACCTATCAGCATTTTCTGAAAGCAAAATCAGGCCCCAACACAGATTCTTATAAGCAGTTCCTGCCTTTTTTATGCAAAGTCATTAATAAAAGTCTTACCAGGATGTTTTCTGCTTAGAATTTGAGATCACGAGTATTCCATGAACTAGCCATAGAGGAGCTAGAGACTGCCTTATTCTTTGAATTCCCAGCATCCAGCACTAAGTAAATGTTCATCAAATTGAGTACCATGCAAAATATAATAAACTACAAAGAAAGAACTCATTATTTTACAGCTAGCAAAACAACCCCTGATCCTGGGGGTAGAATGTTAATGACCCCAGTCCCACTTTCCCCCCTAACATGCCTCCTGCAATTCACACCCTCATATAGCCCCCTCACATGCTGACTATGGGCTTAGTCATGTGAGATACAAGCACAAGTCTGAGAAACCCTTTGACAATGGAGCCTTTCTCGTGGAACTTTACCTCGCAAAGCTCCATCCTGCCTCCTGAGAGGCTGAATGTCACAGGAGAAGCTGAGGCACACAGCTGACAGCCAGGTACGATCTGCCAACACAGGAGCCAGACTGCCTTGGACCATGACTGCGTGACTCCAGCAAGCAAAGCGCAAGACCTGCTGGGCCCAGTCCAGCACTGAGTTATAGAACTGGCTGTGGTTATCCGAAACCCTGGTTACCACCACCATTCTCCATGGTCACGAAGAGCAGAGGGGTGGGAAAGGGAAAAAAACAGAGTACCAAGGAGAGCAGGATGGATTGAGGGGTGAACAAGCATCCACAAGGTTCTGAAGGGACAGGGGAATTGTGTTTCAAGAACAGTAATTATTCATATTCTTTTTTGTTGTTGTTGAGTTGGAGTCTCACTCTGTTGCCCAGGCTGGAGTGCAGTGGCACATTCATGGCCATCCCAGCGTCAACCTGCTGATTCAAGTGATCCTTCCACCTCAGCCTTCCAAGTAGTCAGAACTATAGGCACACACTACTACACCCAGCTAATTTTTTGATTTATTTATTGTAGAGATGAGGTCTCTCCATGGGCTCAGGCTATCCTCTCACCTCAGCCTCCCAAAGTGATGGAATTACACAGGCTTTGAGCCACTGTGCCCCATCTATTCATATTCTTTTTGTCCAATATAAAAAAGAAAAACAAATTTTAAAAAAGAACAGTGATTATTAAAAGTGTCCTAGTAAAAGACTACTTACTTCCCATTACAAGCTACACTTTCACTTAACAAGCACAATGAATTAAAAGTGTCAAGTTTGAAGGATCCTCAAAAAGTATTTTTTTAAGGAAAACCTCTTATTTTATTTCTATAAATAGATGATCATATAAGTTTTGAGTGATATAAAAAAGCAGAGAGATGAGAGTGCCCAAGCTACATAGCACCTGATCACAGTAAAGGGCGGCAGATACACAGCTGAAGCAGACACACACTCAGAACCGTCCCTCTCACACAGCAGGAGTGAGAGACAGCACATTTGTTCAGTTTCCAAATGCTGACCTTTAAGTCACCTGTAGCCAATCCACAGAGTGATGAATAATGACCCCAGAATGTATAAAGAAAATCAGACAAGATCACTGTGACTACAAACAAGCTGATTTATGCTGAACCCTTAGAACTAGGCCTGGCAACATAGCAGGCTATTACCATCCACATTACTAGGACTACACTGCCACTGTCACAGAAGCCACCTCCACTAAGAAACATTTTCTAAACGTACTATTGAAAGGAGACAGGAGACTTAGAAAGACTAATATTTTAAAGTTGAATCCATATAACCAGGGTGGATCCTAAGGACTGGAATGTCCTTAAAGAAGCTAGAATCTATCAACTGCA